TTCTTCATCAAGGACATATTATGTACATACAGATGTTATATGCCACTTACATGGACGAGTGTATGAGTGAGAAACAGAGAATAAAAGAAACAGCATGAAAGACGGAGATAGTGGACGAAGAGATGATTTGACACAGAAAAAAAAAAAAAGAAGCACCGACCAAAACGACCTGCTCTTGTGCTTGAAATGGAATCCATCGTTATTTCTGGAGCAACAGCGTCCGAGCACAAACAGTGCGTGGTCAGTTACACGGACGACCCGACTACATCGACTTTTGCAGTACAACTTGCAGTGTGTGAAATTGAGGAGCATTGAAACAGAGCTTCACAATCATTTCAGAGTACTGTACACAGTAAAAGTACAACAGACTTATTTCATATACCTTATTGTTAATGGCAATTTTTCAGATATCACACCACAGCTTTAACCATATCTGACACCTCTTGCACAGTAGAGTTAGGGGGTTATTGCTGGTTTCAAACAAAACAAAACAAAAAAAACCACATTCAGACAATTGACTCAATAATTCCACCCTCAGGTCGCAACAGTCAGGGTTCGGGTTCTCCGTGCAGACTCGTTATGGCAAATTTGCATATAGTCGCTGCGTGTGAGTGGAACATTGTTTCAGCAGAGAAACGAGGGGCTTACCTCCCACTGTTTGTGCCGCACCGGGGGGCAAGTGGCTGGATAATTGTGCCATGGGGTTTTTGTAGTGCCCATGCGTGTCACAGGTGCACACTGGAGGGAGAACCGGTGCACCAAGGCGAGGTTGTCCTTGAAGAGGATTCCTGTCAGTGGCAGGATTGAGCTTGATTTATGGGGGCCATCGCGGGCTGGCAGGAGGGGGCAGGTGGAGCCCGGGCTCCTTCACTTAGCCAGCCACAGGTAATGGCTAATTACATCTTTATCTCCCTGTGGTCGGGAGAACAAGAAGGGACTCACTGCCACGACCAGGGACTGACATGGATCCAAATCATTTATCTAGCTGGTCGCAGAGAAGACACACGATGACAGGTTGACAAATACGCTGTAAATGTGTGAGATGCAGTTTTCAGCATGACAAAAAACCAAAGGTCCAATACATACACTGTTACAAATTATAAATTACATCATCATCATCATTCACCGCTTCTGGACTTGGATGAACTTATCCCTCAGACTGGTTCAAATGTGACTTTAAAAAGCTTGTCATGGCAAAATAGAGCACATCACTTTGAAAACTTTACATGTTTGTGTTTTTTTTTTTTGTCTGTTTTTTTTCAATGTGTGTGACTTCTCAGAGTAAAGTACAAAAGTTATTTTCCCACGCACGGCTCATTACCATCGGAATTTGTTAATTTTTTTTTTTCTCACATGGAATTACTATTCATAGTTGTTCAAATACTTCATAACATCATCATCATCGGTAGTATTATTAACACCAAAAAAGTAAAAGCAGGTAACCTTGCAGAGTAAAACAGACACAGTGCAGGGACAGGAGTGTTCGGGGGAGGGGGCGGGGGGGTGGACTCACAACAGGAACATCTCTAACCGGTACATGCTATCAACAAGCGACACAGAGGATGGAGCCGCGGCCTCGAAACAAAACATATTGTTGTCGCTAGACAGTCTCTCGCTGCTTCAGAAGGCCGGGGCGAAGTCGAGGCCGACGGGGGGGTGGGTGGAGGCGTGGCGGGGTGTCATTCGGCACCAGGCAACTTGAAGTCACCGGCCAGGCCTCTGTACTGCATATATTTACACTGGGGGGGTGGGGAAGAGGGAGGGGAGGGGGGTGACACGGAGCAGAGAACACTATAGTGATGCGAGGGGCGACTAGACAGAGCACGTTGAACAAGGGGGGGAGGGGAGCTTAAAAAAGGTTTGGGTCGTGAGGGGGTCGACATGCGGAACCTTGGTATAAACCCCCCGAATTACATAAAGGGGTATTTAAGACTGACGCCGTCACAACCCACCCTTTTTTTATTTTTAAACATTTTGACATCATTCATAGCAGCATCACTGCTACACAGTTAAAATCAAAAAGCCATACACATGAGTGTGTGTGTTCAGTGTGTGTGTGTGCGTGTGTGTGTCTGTGTGTGATCAAACGCTGACACTTCACATGGCCACCAATTAGACTTTTTTCACATGACCGCCAGCACCACATCATCATTTCCACAAATATCCACCATATTATTGTGATTTTATGTATAATTTCCATAAGGCAAACATTGTAGGTCAGTCATTAGTCAATGTGGTAGATTATATAAATGATCATCCAGTTGTTAGATTTTCTATTTTCTCATTGATCACCGACACAAATAATCATTGATATACACTCTCTGTCCACATCAGCCCAGTGGTAATAATGAGGACAAAGCAAGGTGAGGCGGGAAGTACCGAGTCAGACGAATCTGCAAGGCATTCTGGGAGACAAAGAGATAGAGAGAGAGAGAGAGAGAGGTTGTGTGTGTGTGTGTGTGTGTGTGTGAGAGAGAGAGAGAGAGAGAGAGAGAGAGAGAGAGAGATAATGACAATGACAATGATTTGACCTCAAAGTGGAATTGAGGGTGCCGGGGTTCTGGGCGGGTGAGACGGTCGTGTGTTTGATGCGATGACTCGATGGCTCCTGGAATAATGCATATTCTTTTTGTTCACAGTGATGGGTTCGTAATTAAAGAATTTCATTTCCGTCTTCCTTCCGTTGAGGGAGGGAGGGAGAGGGGGAGGGAGGCGTGGAGGGAGGAAGGAAGGGACGGCGGGCGGTCGGGGGCTTTCGGGGGCTTTTAGGGACGATTCCACACGACGCTCCGTCTTTACACCTTCAGCAGAAGAGCAGCAAAGAGAGAAACCCAGACACACACGCTGACGCTCATTCCTGCGTGTAGGGCCGTCCCTCGCCCCTGTATGGCCCCCGGTCCTGGATGGAGACCAAGGGAACAGAATAAAGGGGAGAGGGAGAGAAATATGTTAAGTCAAAAGCAAACAGGAAGCCACCAGCACTGCCAGGTGTGAGGTGTAAATTTTAAACCTAATCCAATTAATTCATCAAATTAATTATGATAATTTGCAGTAATTACTATAAGCAGGTTGGCCTGTAGCCAGTCATGATATAACATTTCTTACTATTACAACTACATCCCCCATTTATCACCAGCTATGAAGTCATCCCACTAAAAATAAACAACCTGAGTCAGGCAATGACATAAGTTGAATATTGAATATATCGTCAGACTCTGAAAACGTCTATAAAGTTCTGAAATTAAATAATCAGAACTAAATATTATGTAAATAGTAAATTTTTATGCTGCACTTTTCTAGTCTTGACTCAAAATAACAAACACAACAGTTTCACCCATTCACACACACACATTCATTCAGTGCATCTTTGTGCAGCACTTTCTCTATCACACTTCACCGTCTGCACAGCTGTCAGGTTTTGGGGTTCAGCATCTTGCCCCAGGTGTCGTGGAATGAGGGAGACTAGGATTGAACCTCCTGAGCCACGGCTGCCCCATTCTCAACACTTTTAGGTAGGTCTTAAATATGTTAACTCTCATTTAATGCAACCTGCGTTGCACATAATGTCTCCATGTGTTGTAATTCTTTCTCAACAACACAGATATTAGCACATTGTGATAAAACTGCAAAAAAGACCAACGTGGAACTGATAACAGGGTCTAAAAACACCGAGGTCAGAATATATCTCAGTACACGTGGTGCGGCTGTGAGAAAAAAGACGACGGATACCTACTGTCTCGTGTGTATTTGCAAGATAACGTGGCTACTAAAGCTTATCTTCCATACTGGGGAAATGTAATTCAATCAGAGACTCACATATTCCCTCATATTTGTCTTATTTGACATAAGTCTTAAATTTCATTCAAAATGGTTTTACAAGGGTCTTAAAAGTCTTAAATGTGATTCCAACCTGCAGGAACCCTGAACATGGTTCATCTTAAATCACAAAGCTGTGGTGATAACCTGAGAACGAGGTACAAACGCAGGGAGACAGGAAAGGAGGAGCGAGGCCACAACAGTGAGGGCCATCATATGAATAGAAAAGCCACAAAAGTGTCCGATTATGGTCCAAACATTTTTTTTGTGTGTGTGTGTCCAGAACAGAAAGGAGGTTTGTTGTGTTTCCATCGATGGCAGGAGTAGATTAGGGAGGAAAGAGGAGGCAGAAGGACAGATGATGGAGAGATAGCCTGACAGAAGTGGCAGCTCTGCTGGAAAAAGAGAGCAGGAAGATGTATGGGTCTGACGGCGGAGTGAGTCATTGAGGAGGGACGGGCTGAGATAATGGGTAAAGGAATGAAAGAAGAAAGGGGATAGATGAAGGACTCAGCGTTTGGAAATGGAAGGGTAGGAAATCGCTCATTGTGGACGGTTAACGTGAATTTGGTCTTGGAGAGAAATGACAACTTCCCGGGACAGAGCCGAGAGCGTGTGTGTGCAGGAACATGTAGGAATGAGAGATGAAGGGTGAGAGAACGAAAGAGAGAGAGAGAGAGAGAGAGAGGGAGGTGGTAATATAGGCAAGCACATCTTTAATGGGGCGGAGAGAAGCGAAAATGGGGAGAAGGAGGGAGGAGAGGGCTGAGGAAATGCTGTGTTCAGAGCTAAAATGAAATGGGACCAAAGATAGAAAAACGGTGTGTCACTGCATATGTATTCCACAGTGGTAGTGTCTCACGTCTGTTCAAACCATGCACGGTGATTTCTAACCCCACGAGATTACATTTAAGCGTTGTCGTGTATTCTGCAAGAGCTCGGCTTTGCGTACACTTGTATGTGTGCAGCCCGCACGCAGTTCTGTGTGATGACTTACGAAACAGCAGCATGCTGGCGTTGGAGGCGCCAAGACGGTTTGAGGCGAAGCAGGTGTAGTTGCCAAAGTGTTTCTCTGTCACATTGGTGAAAAGCAACAGCGAGCGCGTCTTCTCGTTTTTGATCCTCAGGGTGTTGTCACTCTCCACCGGCCTGGGTGGTGGTGGTGAAGGAAGGAAGGAAGTGGGAAGAAAAAAAGAGAGAAAATGGCTGTCAGACAAAAAAAGAGATAAGATAACGCAACACAACATTGCACCCAGTGACTCAGCCCCCGTGAGATGCCTTTTTCCCCTCCAGTCTCTCCAGAGACAACCGTGCGACGCAGTCCCCCACCGCACACATCGGTTGTGTCTCACCTTGTACTAATAGTGAAATCTAACAGTCCATAAATAACAGAGACCTCCTGCTGGAGCCCATTATACTCTATTAACAGCTCTCTCTAGCTGGCACAGGCTTGTCTAAGTGCTTCTGCCTCTTGCTTTTTCTGATGCTAAATCAACCTGACTCCTCTACGCTTCCTGGAACCTTTTACAAATTTGGAAGGACGGCTTGCGTGTCGGTAATAGAGATAAAAGATCTTTCCAAAATGCTAATATTTTCCCAGAGATGAAAAATACACACAAGATTATCTATGACCCTATCTAATGTCAGGGGTGATGCCAATGGACGGTGGCCAAGACCACATCGACTCTGCGCCAGAAGAAACTGGAGAACGTATTATCTGTTAAATGACTTGTTATTTTCCAGTCTCTCCACCTTGAAATGTCAAAACTGTAGATTTCTTTTGATTGGCAAGCGACAAATCAATTGTGCATCACAGCTAACATCTATGACGAGGAACAGATACACTTCACTTCTCTGAATGTCCGCCTGTTACACCTTAATTTTGTTGCCTGGTTTTTGCGATGGCCCCTTTCATAGTTTACTCTAAATGAAATCAGAATGTATTTATTCTTGCTAATATTTTGTCAGGCGCACTTCTGCTGCTGCACTGAGGCTGTCAGTACTCAAATCACCGAGCTACGACGAGGATGTCGAAATGACTTTCAAAAGCTCAGTTTTCCACGATAACACTAAAATGACTTTTTATATTCATCCACTCAGGTTATATCCACACTACAATGCTTTAGTTTTATAATGCATCTCTATTGCCACCTTCACATCTCTGGCATCCACACTTCTCCTACGCTGCTGGTCCTGTTGTAGTAGAAAACTACTGTGAATGTTTATACCAAAACTGAAGAAATTCCGTTGAGCTGTTCCTGGGATGTTAACTAGACCTAAAACAGGTTTTGTAGGGTCGTAGTGACCTTTGACCTTAGACCATCCAAATTCTAATCACTTCTTTGACTCCAGAAGAACATTTGCACCAAACCTGAAGATATTCCCTCAAGGCGTTCTTGAGACATCGTGTTCACAGAAGCAAAACAAATGGAGGGATGGATCATTGGCTTTGTGCGGATGTGGCCAAAGAATCAAATTAGCACTGGACTTGTTGCTGGTTCTCACCTGTGGTCGTCTCTGTACCACTCGAACGAGGCTGGTGGGACCGCCATGGCTTCACAGCGCAGGATGGCTGTCTTACCCAAATGAGCTGGCATGTTCTTCATGTCTGTGATCATCGGAGGGTCTGGCAGGAAAAGCCAAGGGATGAAAGAACGGACAAACAGAAGGAGGGAATTCAGCAATTAGTATAAACCTGCCCTCACTGGTGAGTCCAGTCAGGTCAGTCCATAAGGTTGGAAAACCCCCGGAGAGAACAGAATTAAGATATTTGAATTCATACATACTAATGCCTATGCTGTATTTCCATATACCATGGATACATCATTGTGCTGTAACCTGGCTGTGAGTTGAAATATCACCTCTGGGCTGTGGGGAGATACTTACAGTTGACCGTGACCTTGACCTTGCGCTGATCAGCTGGAGCCACTCCATTGTTGGTGATGCATTCGTAGTCCTCGGCCTGCTGCCTCTTGATCTCTGTGATGTCTAGAAACTCCCCCTCGCTCACCAACCCATCTATCGACGTAGGACAAGAGGTCAAAGGTGACGACACAGTAAATCAAATGCAACATGGTAGGCAAAGCAGGAGAGGGGGCCCCTAAAAAAGCTTATTAGATTAGTGCACAGCCACAACAATATTGTCAGAACACCATTAAATTCTACCCGTAACTGCCATAACCCCCCTTACAAGGACCCCTGCCACGAACTTTCTGTCATAAGCTTTGTAATCTTAGAAGTATAGTTGAAGGTGGGAGAGTCTAAATGGCTGTATGCTTGAGATGGTGGGGGTATGATGCAGGGCCCCCAGTTTTTTTTTGCCTGGGCCCCCCAGGACCCTGGAAACACCCCTGGTAATGGTACCATGGGAAATAATGTTCAATACCAACACATAAAACCAGGTAATGATGAAAAATGATAAATTCATGAAATTCATAGATTACAATGCAAGATTACATAAAGTACACAAATGAATGTTTAATGCAATGAACTGTGTCCCACTTAATCCATTACGTAAGAAAATATGAATTTCAATCTGCTGCTTTGATTAACTTGGTCGACAGAAAACTACAACAACATGAAATTGTATATAAATAAATAAATGTACTAGCTGTACTAGAATGTATCAAGGAAATAATATTACATTTTGATCATATTTGTCTCATGTTACAAACTAAAAGCTTCAGGATGGTTTGTTCAGAGCGCTAACGGGTCGGTTGGTGAATTCTTGTATTGGGTAGAAATGATTTGGCAGCAGCGACAGAAACAATATGGAGTCTGGGGAAATTCTAAGCTTTGCTCCCATGGAGTGGACACACCAGGGGGCGACAGCTTGTTCACCACATTATGTAGTGAGATTAATATTTGGCTGTTATTTGATGTTGACAAACTCCCCAGTGCCCCCAAAACCAAATTAGTCAGTTTTGTATTTTATTTTTTCCTCGTCCCTCAGGCAACAAACACAGAATCTCTTCGGAGGGGAGAGTTGAATGGTCCGGCTACAAGTTATTGCTCCTTCATGTGAGGTGAGTGGATGTCGTTGGCGTTATTGGATCGACGGCGGCAGAAAGAGCAGAAACGTAAGAAGAATGAGTGAGAGTGCGACGCCCCCCTGCAAGTCTTAGCAGCACAGCTGTCTCACAGCCTCCAAAACCATTAGGCCTTTTTTTCTCCCCTTCACCCCCATTAAAGAAGTCAGACTGTGGAACACGACATAATATATAATCTCACCACTAACAAGGAAATCCAGCTCTTAAATTGCTGCTCACTTTTCCCTCTCAAAGCCCCAAAAACACACACACACACACACACACACACACTGCTGTCAATCAGTGGACCTTTACTTCCCCTCACAAACACACCAATGGCTCCTAAGCACATTTGTGAGCAACACTGATGCAAAAACACACACACAAAAAAAAACGCCACGATTATTCCTGTCAGAGATTAGCACTGCGGTTCTAATTGAAGATTATACTGGAGGATTATTAGTGCGGCTACTGAGCTGGAGACGATTATTTGCAGCTGCTGCGGCGGAGGCTGAGCGGCGAGCGACAACCACGGTGATGGCTGCCGGTGCCACCCGAGCGAGTCCGGGTGGTGGGCCCTGTGGCTGAGGGGGGTGGGGTGGATGGGCAATGTTATTCACTCATTCCATTAGTCTAATAAACACAGCTCTCCTGTGACATCTCTGTCAGACAGGCAGAGCACCCAACTCCACCAGATGGGGCGGAAGCTTGGAGGGGAGAAACGAGGGGAGATACAATCAGACAACAAGCGCTGGAGAAATTACACACAAGGCTGCTACAGCTGACTTCCACGAGGTAAAAAGGACAAAGAGAATAAAAAATGAGAGCAATCGGGCGCTGGAGCGAGCGTCACAGACACAGAGCGGTAATTTGCAAGAGATACGGAGCAGGAGACTGAAAGAGATACACAGATGTAACGATAGAGTGAAAACAGCGTCACAAAAAGTGAAACTCTGAGAGTTTGGTGTTGGATGCGATTTGCTCTGTCGTGAACTTTTCATCTATACGTGTTGCGATGTGTCAGGGCAAGGCAGCGCTCTTACTCATCCCCGTCTTTCCCCTTCCCCTCCGTCCCCTGAGATCTGTGGACCTGCATCGCACACTTCTCTCCACTTTGATGGGAGATCGTATCTGAGTGGAGCCGGCCCCTGGCTCTCCTACAATGGTCTGTAAAATACAGCTCCATCAACCACTTATGGCTTTTGAAGGAGCCTGACTCCTGACCACCAGAGATAGTTGAATTGCACCTGAGAAGAGAGAGAGCGCATGGGGAGGTGGGGGGTGGGATTTGGCGCTACAGTGAAACCGGGCTCGGTTTTCCTGGCAGCACTTTGTGCTGGACTAGATTATCAGAACACTTGATTTCTTGGCTCCTCTTATCCGCTTCCATTACAAAATCTACCGTTGGGGCCGAGAGGTGTGATGTCGGGTTTAAACAGAGACGGATGGACAGGCTATAGACGGTCATTTGGAAGAGTAAGGGGCCAGAATGTGTGTTAGTTGAGCTAAATAGAGCTCAAGCAGAATTTAACCCTCTGAAATCATCACCTCCAGCAGACGGCTCCGAGACTGTTGTTTGTATCATCCTGTTCAAATACATGCAATCATTCAATCTATTTGTACCAGAGAGCTAAGGGCCTCTGTCTTCCTCCACGGTATGTTGGTTTTGCAAAATTTGATGAAAACACATGTTTGATTTGATCATTTATATTGTTTCATTGAGTTAAATAACCCTTTATTTCAGGTTGTACAGAATTATTGTGATATGAGGCGTTCAAAGGTTGTAAAGAGAATGGTCCCTCTCATTTTCCTTCAGTTTCATAACTTTCTATTATGATAAGCCAATATTCTGTATTATATTTTTGAGATAGTAGAAAATATAAACCCATGAAAAGACCAATGAACTGATCCTATCGTCTCATGGACTATAGAAAATAAACATCAATGAGCCAAACGGAGCATGTGACACACGTTCCTTATTGTCCTGAACACTGTCCTGTCCAACAAATACAATATTTGACAAACAGAAATTAACTCATCATTTTCTCAGCTCAGGGCTGAGAGGCACTGAGACTTTAAAAATGAACCTAAGCTCCTAAACATGGTTGTGAACGGTGGACACGTGTTTATCAAAGAATTTTTACTGTAGTTAAAAAATAATCTCTTGTCTCTGTTGACTCAGTTGATTCCTTCAGACTTCCCCCTCATGTCATCACTTGATTTCCAAAACCACCTGCTCCTGATTCTCACAACCAGCCGCACCTGAGTCTCATCAGCTTCACTCAGTATAAAAAGGCTCAGTTCAGGTCACGTGTCCCAGTGAGACATGAGAGTGAGACAGCATTCACAGAACAAGAAGCCTGAAACTGAAGCAGCTAAATGAGGAAACTGAGGCTCGACACACCTGCTCACAAGCACCAGTCTTCATCATGTATTGTCTTCACTGAAGAAGTTGTGCTTTCATTTGTTTGTTTGTCAGTTTGCAGGATTATTCATAAAATGCCTGAACTGCTTTCCATGACACTTGGTGGTAGGATGTGTGAGTCAGGGATGAACACATTCAACGTGATGGGATGTTTTTTTGTTGATTTCTCAGAGTTAAATGTGGTTTCAAAGGGGTGTATGATTTTCTCTTTAGATCCTGTATGGTAACTACTGAGTGCAACTTTCCTTCTGTGCTCTGCTTGCTAGTTGCAAGAAACCCCAGTTTAAATGCATCCTCTCCACAACAACAGCTCATTTATTTTATCTCAACAAAACTCAAATATAAATACACCTCATACGGTTATCGTCACATCACGATTTTATTTATGTGCAGCACAAGCACATCGCTTTTCCTCCTCAGCGACACAAGAATCCATTCGTTCTGTGAGCCTGCCTGTGTTTAAAACTGATGGACGCAGGCAAAAGAGAACAGGTGCGACAAACTGTATCTCCACAGTTAAGATGCTGGAGGCGGCATCTGGATATAAACGTGCAAAAGTTCATGGCTGTACCATCTGCATGTGAGGAGAGACTCTGCTCACCTCAGAGAAGTTTTAGCAGGTCTCTTGTCTGAGGTGATGCAAATAGCTCCTCCTACTCAACCACCTCCATAATGCAAACACCACCTCAACATGCACTGCTCTCCCCTCCGTCCCTGCAGTCTCTGAGTAATGGGGACAGATGGCTGGCAGCTTCTCACTGTTTCTTTGGGCCGCTCCCCCCTTTTTTCCACCCTCGCTAGTCTCCTACAACTGATGGCTTGGTTGCAGAGACTCTCGTGGAATAGCAATGCGGCCCATATCTCTCTCTTTCTCTGCAAGCTGAGGGGTTATGGGGTAGAGAGGCGGAGAGGCGGTGTGAGATGGTGGGGGTGGTTAGAGAGGAAGGATTACTGCTGACAGAGGGAAAAATGCTGTGGGCTCGCAAGTGAGAGCGACTACACAGACTCTGATGTAAGGTTGTGTGTGTGTGTGTGT